GTTTTGACAAAATTTTCTTGCTAAAAAATCTTTTGTTTCACTACTTTCTTTTATTCCTTTGATTAAACATGTTAAATAAAAGGTTATTTTTAAAAAAATATTTTTTTTACATTACTTTTTATCATTGCGAATTGGATTTCTACCTGCGCTCCGTGTAGAAAGTAAGTAGTTTTCAAAGCTGTTCTTTAGAATTTCCCATAACTGCACTGAGCCAAAAGTGCAATGTATTTTTCAACCAAGTTATTGTTTGGCTTTTTATGGTTAAAACACCGATTGTAAGACATGTGATTCAAGTTGAATATTTGAAAACAAATTCGTATGTCTAACTGTAGCTGAACCTGCAGAAGTGCTTGCTCTTATTTGTTCGCTTCAAGCAGGTTCGAGTTCGAATGCCTTCTGCAGAAACACGTAATTTTTATTTTTTTCTGTTTTTGGTTTCTCTTAATTACGAAAAAGCATATCTGAAGTGCAGAACTAAAACTAATAAAGAAGAAAATTGATTTAATGTAAACAAAAATGTGGTTGATATTACCAAATCATTGTTAGGGATGGCAGCGATTAATCATTTGATTCAATAAATCGATTATTTTTGTCCAATTATTTATCAATAATTGCAATTAATTTTCTTTTGGCTTGTGATTAATCATAAGATTAATTAATCGATTATTTTATTTTTTTGCCATCCCTTATCATTGTCGAAAATATCAACCAAGGTAGTGACAATATCACCAAAAATCATGTTGATTCCTTTTCAAGTTTGAGTTTGGTAATATTAACCAATTTTTGGTAGATTTTTTTTTTTCAATGTGAAGTTTTAAATAATAATAAGGAAATCTACTCATGTCTACATGCATACGTTTTTTTTTTAAGTTACTTACAGAAACAAAACTGCATGCACTATACGCAGATCCCACTGAGATGGCCGAATTGCCAATGAAGCGTTTCATGGGGTCGGTTGAAACAAAATAAGTGAGTACAACGACAAAAGTCAAGCTAAATTCCATACCAAATCTTTCCCAGGCAGCCAATGAAGCGCTGTGAGATATTGCAGCTTGTAGATTTCCTTGATAACCAGGTACGGTGACACTAAAAGAAGAAATAAATAAAACATGTATTAAAAGTTCTTGGTTTTTAATGGAAGAATCTGGTTGTGCTAAACAAAAGTTGACACTTGAACTAAATATTCCTAATTCCTAAATAAAAACCGCATGGTCGACTATATAAATTGTCTTTAAAATTTTGTCGGCGCGATCAATGCAAAAAGTCCTAAATAATAAATTTGAGACTTTGGTTTTGGTATTCTGAATTTTTATAATTAAGGCAATTGCAACACTTAACAAAACCTGCTAACACAACTGAACTTATAGCTTGCTAACATGCAACTAAGGCGAAGAATATAGTGACGCGACAAAGAGAGAGACAAAACATTTTCGGATAATAGCGAAGAAAGAGACAAGAAACGTAAAAACATAGTGAAGCAACAGTCAGCTCAGAAAGCAACGAAAACACATTTTTTTGTTTTCGTCGCTATGCTCTTTGTCGCTTTCTTCGCTTTTAGCTTCACTATGTGCTGCTACATTGAAAAATAAAGGTTTGTTTTTGTCGCTATTATCCGAAAATGTCTTGTCGCTCTCTTTGTCGCGTCACTATGCTCTTTGTCTAACCCACTTCGCTGTGGCGGCGGCCTTATATACCTGCGCTCGCACTCATGGCAACTCTAGAACTATGTCAAAAAGTTTTCTTTGGTTTTAAATAATTGAGGTTGCTTCGGAATTCAAGCAATTAAGATATTCATTAATAAATCTTTAAAATCCTACATCAGTCGCAAAATGGCTCCTCGGCCATGAGGCTAGAGCAATCGCAATTCGCATAAGAAAATAATATCGTTTGGGATTTAACACAAAACTCAGACTGAAATAATTATAAAAAATGTAGTCGTTTCATTAAATCAACATTTTAGTTTTGAATAAACTAAATATAGAATAAAATTACCCTCGTATTACGTTGATAAAAATAATAAAATGATTGCAACTTAATAAAATGTTAATTGCATATGAACAAATGAACTGTGAAATGAAAACTTCTTTAGCATAACTGTTCATAGAAATGAAATGATGAGATATATTAAAGAAATAAATTTTATCTAAAATTTATATAATTACTCTTTAAAAATTATAATCTGACGAATAATTAAAAAATTATTAATTTGGAAGAATAACCTGGCGATACGAGCACTTAGTTCCCTGCCATTTAAACACAAACAAATTTAATACAGTTTGATACATAATTTATAATTATTAAAATTGAGGAATAACCTGGTTACTTGTGGACCAACAAATCACAAATCTTTTAAATTTTAACAACGATATAACACTATATAAGATACAAATAATTAGAAGACGTAAGCACAGCAGAAACTGATTCCGAGGTACTAATTTGCAAACTTTGTAACAAAGTTGTATCGTCAGATAAAATATACAGTCTTAAATCGCATATAGCCAGCGCCACTCACATTGAACGTGAGAAATTAATTCTTTATCACGCAGCAATTTTTGGCGGAAAATTCTACCTGTAAAAATGCTAAATTCACCATGGATTTGTGCAAAGCGCTTGTCGCTTCTGACATACCGCTATTCAAAATAAGGAACAAACATTTTAAGCATTTTTTGGATAAATATATGGAGCACCAGGTACCATCTGAAACCACCATGCGCAGTGCAGTTAATACAATCTACAACGCAACAATTGAGAATATAAGAAATTGTATACAAAATCAAAACCTGTGGTTATCAACGGATGAAACCACCGATTCCTCTGGGCGATACGTTTTGGGCATACCAAGTACTGATGAGACTATTTCTAAGCAACGTTTTTTGTTAAATACTGCTTTATTGGAGAAAGAAGACCATTCGAATATTGCACGGCTTTTTGACGACTCGATAAAACTTTTGGGTCCAAATTTTAACAGGGATGGTCTGTTGTTGTTTCTAACAGATGCTGCACCTTACATGGTGAAAGGTGCAAGAGCCATAAAAGTCTTTTATCCCAAATTAATTCACGTGACATGCCTTGCAAATGCTCTTCATAGTCATAGCAAATCTAATCCTAAAGTTGATCGTTTAATTGCTACCATAAAAAAAGTTTTCCTTAAGGCTGTATCGCGGACTCCAATTTTTAGGGATTGCGAGCCAGATATACCATTCCCTCCTGCACCCATAATAACACGGTGGGGAACATGGTTGGAAGCAGTTAGCTATTATGCTAAATATTTTGAAAAGATTCGAACAATTTTCAAATTATTAGATTCAAACGATTCTCAATTTATTAAAAATGCGAAAACATTATTGGTAGATACTGATGTTCGACAAGGAATAATTTTTATAGATGCTAATTTCGGTTTTCTGGTGGATTCCATAAAAAAGCTGGAGAATGTCGGTCTTCCGCTCACAGCGCAATTGCAGGTGGTTGCCGATGTCAAAAAACAATTGACCGAGCTGGATGTATGGAAGTAGAAGAAAATCTCAGCTCGTTGTTAATGAAAAACAAAGGCTACATTGAGATAAAAAGCAATGCTGACCAAATTGCAGGAAAACCTACATCATGTCACAATTCCACATACGCAATTTCTGAAGTGTTGGCCTTCAAATATGCGCCTGTAACGTCCGTGGACGTCGAAAGAACATTTTCGATGTACAAAAGTATTTACCGTGACAATAGACACGGATTTCTGTTCGAAAAAATAGCTTAAATGTTTGTTGTATACTGCAACAACAATATGAAGTAAATTTTTTATTGAATAATTGAATTATTCTTCTGTTTTGAAACTTATACTAAAGAATTTATGTACCTTTCGTTATTCATTATCTTTTTTTATTTGTTATGTTGTAAGAATGTAAACTGAAATAAAATAAAACAAAAAATTTTTAAAGTTAAAAAATATAGTGCCAATTTATTATGTTGTAAGAGAAATCCGCCAAAAATTAATTTTTTTGGTTGCCCTAATAATATGATTCAATAATCATTTAAAAAAAAAAAGTATTGCCAAAAAAGCAAAATAAGGCACTAAAAAAACAGAAAATACGAAGAACAATCAAAAAATATATTTATTTTAGAAATTTTTATATTACAAGTAAAAAGAGAAAAGCTATGAACCAGTTTCATTATATGAAAAATTTGTACTTTGACTCTTTGACTATTTTATTCTTTCGAGTTTCTAACTCATAAAACTTTAATCTGTATAGTTGTAATAACATTGAACCATAAGATGCATTTTGAAGTTTTCTGGCAGCATTTTCATTCGATTTTCGCGAAGAAAAGCCTTGAATGCACTAAATGAGCGCTCGATGTAAGTTGATACAAGTGGAGCCCAAGGGCGTTTTCCTCGCCCTTTACAATTTTATACACACCCCTTATTGTCTTTAAGCCTACGTTAGCTGAGAAAACGGCTTTGAATTTTTCCAACACCAATTTTGAAAGAGGTCCCTGCGCTTCTATAAGCCGCATGGGCATGTGTATATTTTTTAATCTTAAAAAAAAATTTGAAATGCTATAATCACTATTTTAAACGTAGAAAAGGCAAAAAAAGGCAAATATCTTAAAAAAGGCAAAAAAAAGGCAAATATCTTAAAAAAGGCAAAAAAAGGCAACATCAAATGTATATACATGGAATCAGGGAAAGGTAAATCGTGGACATTCTTAATCGAATATACTCTCTTTAGCAGAAAAAAAGGCCCTGGTAATTATACTTAGAAAACTCCGCGTAGAACAATTGAGAATGGCGTAGGTTACGAAAAGGGACATTGAACGCTATTTTTTCTAAAAGGGTTGGGCAGTCAACGGAGCTGTTCATAACATTTGCAACAAAAGAGCAAGCGAGAAATGCAAACCTGTGATTCAAGGGCTTTAAAGCCAAAAGCTATAGTATAGGTTCACTGAAATTCAGTGAGCGAAGAGCCGATTTGATGAAAACCTTTTGAATTCGCTCTATTCGGCTTATATGCGAGGCAATGTATGGTCTCCAAATAAAACAAGCATAGTCAAGTCTAGATCTTACAACTTCAGTGTGTACGGGTCCGTAAACGCCGAGCTGTTGCGACGGACAAAAGCCAACAATATAATTAATATGCGTTGAGAAGCTGAGTTTCGTATCGAAGTATACACCCAAGTCCTTAACTTCGGCAACATATTTGAGGGAGACCCCAGAGATATGATAGCACGTTGAGATAGGAGTTTGCTTTCTCGTAAAGGAAGAGTAAGAACATTTAGCGAGCGCACCAAGACTCAAGATTATCGAGTTCCGACTGAAGAACAAAGGCGTCTTGCAAGTTTTTTATTGAGTAAATCGTCTGCATACAGCAGAAATTTAGAAGTTGCGAAACAAGAGCCGATGTCGTTAATAAATAATGTAAATAACAAAGGTCCCAGGATGCTGCCCTGGGGCATACCTGAAGAGGCAACAAAAGGTTGCGAGGAGACATTATCTAAGGTAACCACACAAAGTCTATTACTCAGATAGGACTTAATCCATTCAAGAAAAGTTGAACGGAAACCTAAAGCCGAAAGTTTGGAAGCTAACACTCTATGTGAAACTCTGTCGAAGGCTTTCAAAAAATCTGTGTAAACACAATCTACTTGATTCGCTTCACGAAAGGCAGCGAAACAGTCTTCAGTAAAAACAGCAAGGTTTGTTACTGTTGACCTACCTTTGATAAATCCGTGTTGGTTACAGCAGATAAGACCACTAATTGCGAATGAGAGTTTGACTTTAACAACAATCTCGAAAATTTTAGAGACCGTGGATAATTTCGAGATAGGTCTATAATTACTTACGTCGTTCTTGATACCGCTTTTATAAATTGGGGTTATAGATGCTCTTTTCCAGTCGTCTATAAAAACGCCTGATGTTAAGGACTTATTGAAAATAAGCGTTAGCGGCTCAATCAGGGGGGAGCACTTTTTGAAAATAATCGCCGAAGGTCCATCCGCGTCCATTTGTTTGGAGGATTTTAGCGATTCGATGCCTCTACTAACGTCTTCTTTGGTTACAAAAAGCGAACCAAAAGACAGTGACGAGTCGGAAAAGAAAC